TCTGTCTCTCTCTCTCTCTCTCTCTCTCTGTCGCTCTCTCTCTCACTCTCTCTCTCTCTCTCTCTCTCTCTCTCTCTCTCTCTCTCTCTCTCTCTCTCTCTCTCTCATTCTGTATACAAATAGTTCACATGGATACACACAAGTATACATGGCAATACATAAGCACGAACCCACAATGCAAGTTCCACAAAATGTGTTTTTATTGAGTGACAGGTACCCTAAAGAAGACGGCCTTACAGGAAATGTTGGAAGGGAGCAACTGTCAGCAGCTTCTGCAATAGCGAGAGCAGAACTCAATACATGCCGCCAGGTCAGGAGGCCAACCTGTCGGTTTGGAGGACCTGCTGCTTCAGGGTACTGGGGCTTTCGGAAGATTCGCACTAAACTCTGATTTCATAGAGCCTCAGCCATCCCTTTTGTGTAGGGCGGTAGAGCAGCTGTTGCTCCCAGGCGACGCTCCGTTCCGGCTGGCCAACGCTGAGGCCGGCTTCTAAGAGTTTCGCAGGCAACACGAAGAAGTTCCGTGGAAGGCCGTCGGATTTCGGACACGAGTGAGTGCTCGTCACTGCTGGCGCAATTCTGCCTCACAGGCTTATCCACCTGTATGTCTCGCGGCTCCGCACGCTGAAGGTCACGAGTCTTCAGTCGGGTAGATGTTGCTGCAAGTTGTTTCTACTTCCAAAAGCCTTAAAGACAATGGCAACATCCCAGAATCCGAGTCCGGCTGATCATATACAAAACCACAGACGCAAGGTTGGTAATGATGATTGAAATAAGTGTTGGCGCGAAGCCTCTGAGACGGGACAATGAGAGGCTTCAGCATCCGTCAGGCCGACGGTCATCTTCGGCGAGCTGATAGCTGGTCCGCCGAGATGGGTGGTCGGTTACATCCTCGGATCCCAACGGTCCAAGGTTCAGGGGGTTTGCACAGAGTGTGGCACCCCGGGAGGCTTCTGCAGGGTGCTCTGATGCCGAGATCCTCTTCCCTTGCAGATCAGTGGCAGGAGGCGCCCCTTTTTGCAAAGAGAAAGGAGGCAAAGAGAAACATGGCAGCTTCGTCGTCTTCGTCGTCGTCTGATTTCACGTTCGCAGCTTCGCAGCTTCGCAGCCTGCTCGGCTCCAAGAGTTCCGCGCAGCGAGAGTTCCCATTCAAGGCTCAAGGCACCGCATGGCAGAAACCAGACCCCGAAGACCCCGCCTCCGTTTCGGGCAGACCAGACAAGCCCTCAGACCCCTGCACCAACTTTTACCCTAAGTCCTTACGGTAGGAGATGCGCTCCGCTTCCGTGCGTCTGCGGCCCTTATGGCGGGGGGTGTCCACGATGGACATGCGACAGATCAGCCCTTCGTCTGATCACAATTCCCGGCCTCCTGGGCTTCCCACTCTCGCTGTACCCGTCACTCAGGATGCTGCCGACTGTGCGATTCGTGAGCAGTCCGGCCCACAGGAGTTGTCCAACACCGCACTGCGGTTGCAGACTGAGAGCTCCAGGTGCCCGCGTTGACCCCGTCTCTGGTGATGCTCTGGAGGGTGGACCGGCCGTCCCCAAGGAGCGCCTTCGGTGTGAGTGTCCCTTTGGGTTTAAGGCTTGGGTCTAGAATTGTCGAGGGGCTGAGCCTACAGCAAAGCGCGAGCCGGAGGAGTGCTGGTCGGACCAGGCGCCTGGCTCCACCCCGGAGGTCGAGAGGCGCGAGACAGGGTTGCACTCAACAATCTTTCGGAATCGTCATATTGACTTACCTATAAAAGATTCTATTAACATGTGCCATGTGTGTACAGAACGTAGGAAGCCACGAATCACGAATGCCGAAGCGGCAGGGATTCGGGCAGATCAAGCCCGGCGCCCGCTCGAGGGAGCCACCAGAGCCAGGACTCTTACAGGGCTCACTGGAGGGAAAAGGGGCCGGATTCAAGGAATCGCAGGAACTGCCTGCAGATGTCAGTGGAAGCTCTGGCGCCCTGCATGCGGCCTGCAGGATTCGCCTGAGGACGATGTGAACGCTACCAAAGTAAGGACCTCGAGCCTCAAAGACAAAAACAGAGGCCGACGAAGCCCTGCTGAACATGGAGCTCAGGAGGCTGTAGGCACCTTCCTCTTTACGACCTCACTCGTGTCCTGTGGCCTTGCTCTGTCGGCTTGTGGCGTCTCTGCTGCTTCCTGCGACACAGCTTGGTCCCCACAAATTGTGGCAGATGCACTGAGGAAGCAGTCTCCAAGAGGGGCGTGAACAAAGAAGTTTGGCGCGAGCAAAGGCCAAGAAAAAGCTGCCCAATGGCTTTGCCTTACAAGCATCTTGACTGAGATCAGCACTTGTGCAGATGATACGGCACCTACAGTTCGACCTAGTGACCTCATCCATGTCCCCCCTGCAGGAGCGCATGGAGAACAAGGTATCTTCACGGCGCCGGATATCTCAAATCGCAGCGCAGGCCAGATAGAACCCGAATGCAATTTGCCATGAAGCGGCTATAATGCGGCTATAATTGCCATAAGCAGCACAAGTGACAACGAACCGGAGCTTTACCAGGACCAGCATAGCCGCTGGACAAGGGCACGCTTGTGGCTGCTCCCTGTGGTTCGCCACAAGCCACTTGGAGGTTTAACCCCTTCCTTGCTGCACTTCTTGGCACTTCCTCTCTTCGGGATTGGGACATACCGCCTTTGATGTTGAGGTACTTCAACCTGTTTGCTGCCATCGTGATCATGGCAAACGCTTTGTTTATGGGCGTGGAGACATCCTGGATTTCCTGCTCTGGTGATGTGGAGGGGCCACTAAACGGCATTGGGATGCTTTCTCACAGCCCGAAGGATCTGGTTTGCTGCGCTGTTGAAGACATGGAGCATCCGTTGAATGCCGGAACCGAGGATCGGATGGTATATAGCCAATGTATGTTTCACCCAGCTTTTTGTTGTGGAGCTCGCACTTCGCTGGTTCGTAGAAGGCGGGGAGGATGTGGTGCGCTACTTCGCAGCGGCAAGTTGCTTTCCTTCATATTGCCATGAATATGGTCAGCTTAGATGACTTCTTCGGGTTTAGTCTCCATTGACAGAGCGCTTGTGGCACGTCAGACCCAAGTCCACCTGCATACTGCACCTTTTGTTGCGAGTTGCTCCTGCTGTGCGCCCCAGCAGGCCTACCTTTCTGGTTCGATCCCTGGAACGTCTTTGATGCACTCTTGGTTCTGTTTTCGTTGTTCGACGACACTTGGATTCAACAACGTATTGAGAAATCGCAGGGGCCCGATGCATCCTCTTGTCTCCGTAACAAGCCGCACGTGCAACTCGTGCCCAGGATTTCGTGCTGGCTTTCCTGCTCTCGGACACATCCCAATCCCAGAATCTGAAGGTAGTTTTCAGGCAAGACGGATGTCGACACGACTGGTTTTACATACTTCTGGAGGGCACTACCGGAGCATGCTGCATGCTTCTTGTTGTATGTGATATGCTTTCATTCCTGTCCCCTGACCCAGAATCGCCCGGATGATACGGTTTGTGCGGGTGCTACGGCTGCTCAGACTGTTCAAGGGCCTCTGGTACCTGGTGGAGGGTGCCCTGGCTGTCAAGATGGTCAAGAATTTTTGTTCAGCCGTCGATCATGTTTTAAACTGGACTTTGTGCTCGTCTCTGCCCACAAGCATTCAGGCATTGTGGCATCGCTGAGTTCGCTGGCTTGGGCTTGGCTGCTCTTAATTGATCGGCACTCAGTTTTCGTGTCGGGGAAGGGTTTGAAGATGCTGAAGTCCGACCGACCGCTCATCAAGACGCGATGGTCGTGCCTTTCCCAGGTAATGATGTATCTTCCGGCGATATTTGTCACACAGACATTCGGGAAGGATGTGAATGCAGATGCAAAAACACTAGAGTACTTCGGCTCGCTTCCGTCTCTTGGCGCGGAATGCAGGGTGTTTGAGATTTCCCGCGGCATTCTTGAAGTGCTTTTTGTTGGCAGCTGCCGGACTGAGGCAGAGCATGTACACGCTCTTCAAGGTTATGACCATGGAGACATGGGCTGATATTGCCCGGCATACAGCCAGGCTATATCCAGGTGCTGAGATCTTCTTCGTGCTCTACATCTTCTGTACCAGTGCATCGCTCAAATATGGAAAACGGAGCGGTCCGATAGCTGTTCCACTAATAGTCTGAGTCTAATAGTCTCGATCTCCGAGGTCTTGCAGTGATGTACTTTTGCTGCACCAGAGTGTTCCAGGCAGCCGTAGGTGTCGGCCAGGCTTGCAGGCTCAGGTGCTGAGGGCCCTAATGCAGAAGCTCTTCTTGTTCCCTGATCTCAGGAATGTCGTCGTTGCTGTGATTGTGCAGAACACATGTGCCTGGGCACGGCACGTTGGGAGCTTCCTGTACTCTCTGGGAAACTCTTTTAGCTTCCTTACTCTCATTTTGGCTGTGTCAATCTGCTTGCAGGTGTTCACGCGAAGGAGAGGCAAGAGGACATGCGCTCCTTCCAGGTCCGCCAGTCTTTTGTCTTGTTTTCAGAGAAGTGTTTGCTCGCAGCAGCTGCCGCGGCCAGGAAAAGAAGGATGCCAGTGCCATGCTCAAGATTCTAGAAGTCTTCCAGATACTTGGCAAGGTTGATCTTGCAATAAGGCGGCCGAGTGGCCTGTCTCGTTTTGTACTCTGTCTCTCTGTCTTTCACTATCTCTCTCTCTCTCTTTCTATCTCTGTCTCTCTCAACTTGCTCTGCTTCTCTCCCATCTGGGACTTTTGCTCCGTCGCTCCCTCCCAGCTTCTTTCCTTTACGAGTCAGATACTGCTGGTCTTTTAGCTGGTGTTCTGTTCTCTCGTTGTCTTGTCTTCTCGTTCTCGGTGCAGAGCAAAGGACTGCAGATGTCCAGAACACGGGGACAGTCACGAAGAAGGACCGGGAGCTGTTTGACCGTTAATCTGTGAGTGCAAGTCCTGTCACAATCCTGTATGGCTAATGCATGCGATTGCTGTCCGGTTGCGCTTGCCGTGCAGGAGTTTCTGGAAGCCATGAACATTCCGTCCGTTATGCAGCTGATGCATGAGGCCGTCGCTGTTCGGTCCACTGCAGCTGGAGTGTCGCGGCCGTTGGAAGCAGAGCAGAAGATAATGTAGTACAATATGATTTAGTGTAACGTAATATAGTCTGAAAAATATAGTATAATATAGTATAGTATAACATAGTATAAAAAACATAGTATAATATAGTATAATAGAATATAATAGAGTATAATATAGTATAATATAGTATAGCATAACATAGTATAATATAGTATAATATAGTATAATATAGTATAATACAGTATAATATAGTATCATATAGTATAATATAGTATAATATACTATAATATAGTATAATATAGCATAATATAGTATAATATAGCATAATATAGTATAATATAGCATAGTATAGTATAATATAGTATAATATAGTATAACATAGCATAATATAGTATAATATAGCATAATATAGTATAATATAGCATAATATAGTATAATCTAGTATAATCTAGTATAATATTATATAATATAGTATAATATAGCCCATGCTGGGACTCCCAAGCTCGCCCCAAGTGCCGCCACTCGGCAATGAGAGTCTCTCGTCGTGTCCTTTCTCCGTCAGGTGCAGATCGACGTGCGACAGGTGGAAACCTTGTTCGACGTCCTGGACTACAACGGCTCCGGCAGGATGGACTCCGAAGAGTTCGTGGAGGCAGGTCACCGGGTCAGGCTGAAACGCGTAGCTTCGGCCTGCATATATGTTTATTATGATTGTTATTGCTGCTATTGTTGTTATTACCAGTATCAGTATGTTTATTTGAATATTCTTGTTAGAGTGCTTCTGTATTGTAGGAATTTTGTCTACAGCCTGAGGCACACCTTGGTCCTTGCACCAATGCAGCTTTGCTGTTGTCATAACAACCCTTTAGGGCCTTTAGGGTTTAGGGTTTCGGGTTTAGGGAGCCACAACAACCACAACAACCACAGCGATCACAACAAGCACAACAGCCACAAGCATCACCGCCACCGCCACCGCCACAACAACACAGAAGAAGGTATAGCCGGTGCGTTCGCGGCCGCGAAGGGTTTGTCTGTCGTTTTGTTTGTTTCTGGGATCTGTGCAATATCTTGGCAAACCGTCTAGCGAGTCCCGTGACTAAATGTTTTTGCAGTTGTATGGTCTGCTGCGCAGGTGTTTCCATGCGTTTGCTTGCTCTAGGTATTCGCATGGATGTGAGTGTAGCAAGCTTCAAACTTTATAGTTCTTGTTTGAGATCAGTATTTCTGCCTTTCGATTTTTTCATAGTGCGCCGGCCGGGCTCGAGATTCTTGTTGGCTTGCGATTCGTGCGCCTGTTGTAGAGACAACCCACAGCAAATTTCATGCGTGATGTCCGGAGAATGCAGGTGTGAAGAGCTCCAACCACGACAGCAGAAAGGCAAGCCACAAGAAGAGAACAGAAAGCATACGTCCCTACGTCCGTCACGAACAACTGCAAAAGCAGCAAACACAGGAAACAACAGCCACAGCAATCACAACAATCACAACAACCACAGCAACCACAACAA